TAAAATCAATAACTCCGCTGCTGAGATTAGTAAATGAAAGTAACCTTGTACCGACTTCTGTGTTAATCCAAATGAGTAACACAGAAGGTGGGAGAACCCTCTACTGACCAGAATCCTGCATCGTTTGAGAAATGAACCACGGACGTATTAGGCAGCCAGTTTCACGGCAGCTTTTCTCTGTGTGCGGCTAATGACCTTTGGAAAGTGGAAATAATTGCATTGGCCTCGTATCCTTCGCTAACATCTTAAGCCAGTGTGTCACTTGATGAAAGACTCGCAGACAAGGTCGTCACCTCCGGAACTCATGTTGCACAGATTACATCTCATTGAAACTTTTAGTCAGGCGTGACAGATTCCGTAACTTTGGGGAGGACACAAGGAATAGTTTTGGCCTGCAACTCACAAGATAGGAATTACAACCTTCTTCGTGAACTAGGATCACTGTTGTAAATTTTTGGGGACAACTTTGACTTTTACGTTACGGAACTTTTGACAGCACTTTTGCAGAAGGGCAGTCAGCATTTGGCATTATGGGTAGATAATGCTGTATCAGTAAGGCTGTTCTAAAAGAAAACTACGTTTATTTCAAAGAGCCAAACCAAGGCGTGACTTAACATAAACATGGCCGCATCAGGTTAGCAGCATGCTGGCTTTTCCCTTCATTATACACATAAGGTTGAGCCTACTGCTGCACGCATGTGCTGCACGTTTGACCAAAGCAGGTGATTGTTAGTTCCACTTTTCATCCATCATAAGGTTTGTTTGGCTAGTTCTTTGCGGCAGCACCATTTCTGATCCCGGTTTCAAGGCCATTTCTTATTCTTCCCTATCCATCTGTAGCCGGATTGTTGCCGATGGCTCTGATCCTGGTTTCCATTGTTGGTAAACAGCAAACTTGTTTCCTTCCTAATACATTCTCGGGATTCAAGGCTGTTCCGACTGTTCAACCGGTTTAAAAGCCTGAAGGTCTGTGTTAAATGTCCTCCTGATCATTGGTGATCACCTGAGCCACCTTTTTTACTCATTTACTTATTGGACATTTGCCTTGTTGTATTCGCTCCAGATAAGCGCCTTTAATCCTGTTAGCACTCGCAATACCGGAACAGGTGAACTACCAGTTTGACAGTCACCAGCTTTACGCGTGCATCTTGCTACCGTGCTTCCGTATTTTTTGGCGTTATTAGACAGCTAAAAATCTGGATAGATCACTTTATGTTTCCGATTATTCTTTCAGTTTAGTTCAACTCCCTATACAGCTTTAAACTCTTTATAAAAAATAGAGAGACCGAGTGCAGGGAAACTGATAACCAGTCTTATAAACATCCATAGATTCCGGTCTGCTGAACTGCTTATGGCAACGATAGGTATCTTCGAAGGTTGAAACTCTCCCTAGAATCAAAACATCTTGTGCACAGTCTTGCGACGCTCTCAATCCACCTCCAGTTTCATTAGACGTAGACAGGTTTGTAGTGCAATGCATCTCACCCACGAATAATTATTATTACATTCATATTTTTGCATTTATCTCGTTATCCTTTTATCATGCAGCATGTTGTCGCAAACATGACTCGGTTAGTAATTAGGTACAGCGTTCAGTTATAGCTCAGATGCTGCGAGGTTAGGTGGTGAGACCGAGAATTATGGAACGCTGCCACTAAGCCGGTACGCGTCGCTCAGCTAAATGAAGGCGGCAACCGTTATCCACGTACGGCTGCAATGAGATTTAAAAGAAAGAAAAATTAAAATAAGTCAACAAAGTGGCACTAAGAATCTTTTGGGTTGTCGCATTCGGCCAACCGCAGACACCGGTTGAAGGCGTAACGCGTCAACCCTCTTTGCCACAGTTGGCCACAAATCGAAAATGGTGGCGTGTTTTCCGGGCGGGACTATGGTTTTTAAAGTTCTTCTTAAGAAATCCGACTCCAGTTTTTTCTTGGATAAAGCGCTCGGCCAGATACTTTGTACCATACATTGAGCTAGTTTCCATGTGGTTTTACATCATGTGATATGAGAACTGCCAACTCGATGATCGGCTGGTGCTATCATTCACGAAGATAGTTTCACATCCAAAATATCATTCTAAGCAACTTCAACACAAGTAGCGAAGAGAGCAACCGTGATAGCCTGGCTGATCAGCCGATAACAGTTTTGTGAAGTGAGTAAAGGCTCCCTCTGATAGCCGTAATATTTGCAGTGCAGTTTTTGAGAAATTGTATCTCATTTTTATCACTTACTTCTTAATCCTTGCCTTTGAAGAGGATGAGTTCCACTTTTATACGATGCATTGGACAAACAACGCAACAGATTCAATGACGCCCTCCAGACACGCGGGACATCAGAAATCACTTTTGAATTTTCGCCGCATCTTATGATTTACATAACCGAATCAAGTAGTAGGTTCAAACTAGTTGTTCAAGATGGTGTGCTTGCAGGGTTCCTAGAATTTTCAGATTCTGCATTGAGCGATTAAGAACAGTTTCTTTTAATGTAGCAGATGTGTAGGCGAAGAAGGTGGTCGGTCAGCGTAAGCTCTGCCCAAGAATCAACAAAACGAAATATTGTGGCGCAAATCTTTTGGTCGATTCGAGGACTGACACACAGGATCGAGGCTTTTCCCAGGTTTCCCAGGTCGTTTTTGTTCTTGTCGTTCAGTGGCCGTCGTTCACCTGAAAGGCACAAGTGAAAATAGGGTGTAGCACTGTTCTCAGCGCAGGGCAGTATGCTTGCCAGCGCGATGATTCGCGTGATTAAATGTCTAGTAGCGATTTGTACTGGGCTCCAGAAGGAGCGTAGACGACCGTCGGAGGAAGGTCATACAACGCAGCCACTACTCAAAATGAGAAAAAAATTTGCCTAATGAATGTGTGCGCTCTGAGCCTGAAAATGTTCTAACTATGTCCCCGCCGGGTGTTTGCTGGGTCAACTGTAAGACCCTGTTGACAAAGCATTGTTCAAATAGGGCGTAAGTAAGAATTAGGTCCCCTCGGAGGCGAAGGTAATCCAGGCGAAGGAGATCAAGCATCGCAGTCCACAGATTTGACACCGGAAAGTTCTCGTAGCGGCCCGCATAACACACAATGATAGTAACGTATTTTGTAGGTCCTGAGTGGAAAACTTGGTTGGTGTACTCCAGGGGCGGTCTGACGTAGGCACCATAGAGTATTTGGAAATCCATGCGAGTAATACGGGAGAAGGTGTGTCGGATCATCCATAAAATGGCGAATGCCTTTTGGGCCGATCTCTCATGGTGCAGTGAGAAGGACAAGTTTGAGGAGACCCAGATACACAAATCCTTTTTGGCGTCTATCCTCATGATGTTTTCTGGTCCCTTTTCACCATGCATAACAAAGGCATTCGCTGACTCCCCTCCAAACCACATATGGACGCACTTTTCATCATTCAGAGGAAGGTGCGAGTCAAACGACCACTGCTTGACAGCGTCTACATCCATTTGGAGGGCACTGGCATTGGAACTCCAGGATTTCAGGTCGTCCGCAAAAAGTAGACACGAACTCGCAAGAACGTCTGGGAGTCGTTGACGTAGATCAGAAACAGCACTGGTCCCAGGACGGGGCCTTGGGAAACTCCAATGGAGACCGGCGCTGGAGAGGAGTAGATCGAGCCCATTCTCACTCGGAATGATCTGTCTGATAGGAACGCCTTGATCCAGTGAAGGATTTTCCCTTGAATCCCGTAAGACTCGAGTTTGTGGAGCAGCGGGACGTGTGGGACCCCATCAAATGCTTTTGAGAAGTCGAAAAATATGGCATCCGATATGTGTCCTTCGTCCTTGGCTTGGGTTGAGCTGTCCATAAACACGAGCATTATTGTTGCTCAAGAGCGGTTTGTGAGAAATCCGTGTTGAGCTGGAGACATCAGGTTGCTGGAAGTAAGGTGTTCTAGGAAAGCTCGCTTCAGAATGCATTCCATCGCCTTGTACGGCACGTCAGTGAGGCTTATAGGCCTGCAGCTGCCAGGCGACAGTCAGTCACCATTTTTGTAGAGTGGCGTGACAATCGCTTCATTCTAAGCAGGAGGAAGGTGACCTACGTCAAGCGACTGACAAAACACTAGTGAAGACGACGTTTCCTTCAGGGTTCTTTGATAAACTTCGTTGGGCCCCAACGCGCAGAATGGGTTGATCTTTTGCAATAATTGACGTATGTCCTCCTCCGTGAAGACCAAGTCGGTTCGGGGCTGTACGTAGTTACGCCTTGTCAAGAGTGGATGTGACGAGGACGCTGGGGCTGAATATAGACCTGTGCAGTGCTCTCCGTATACCTCAAAACCACTTTTTGGTAACTCGTGGGTTCTCCGCTTCTGTCCCTCAAAGAGAATGCGGATGGCTCGTTTCTGCGGCGATGTCCCATGTATTTGAACATTATAACTTTGATTTTCCGCGCGAGTGGCCCGCTTTCGTACTTTCTATTGGCGGATTTGTGATTTGCAGCGGTTCCGCATTTTACGAAATGCCTGCTCATCTTCTGTATCTCCTGTGAACAACTTTTTAAAAAGTTGGAGCCTCTTTTCCGGAAGTCACCGAATCATTTTAGACAGCCTGTGGCTCATCCGACTGCGTGCTAGTTTTCTGAGACGAGCATCGCTTCAGCCTCGTGAACTGTCTGGACAACGGTCCCATATAATTCTTCCACCTAAGCTGGTCCCAGTTTCAGTTGTTCAAGATGGATGCGCAATCCTGAGAAGTCTGCACGGCAGAAGTCTCGAAACCGCGTTTTAGGTTCGGGCTTTCTGGCCAAATGGCAGATGAAATGAAAAGTCGGCACACAGTGGTCGCTATGTCCCGGTGGAGCGTTATTTGTCACCTGATCAACGAAGTGTCTTTCGTTGGTGATGACCAAATACAGGAGGGATAACAGTTAGCCTGTGGGGTATCTGGTGGGTGCAACGGCACGTGGAGTCCAAGGGCTCTGTTGAACGACTTCAGTCAGCACAGCCGCAAAAATTTTGCTTGATCCGACGCGCTGGAGCTCCGTCCAGGAGGTCTTTGGAGCGTTGAAGTCACCTACCGGCAGAGAATAAGTGAAGTGGTAGCTGGAGAGGAGTTGCTCATGGGTTCGTATGAGGAATTGGTCATCTTCAGGAGGATTCGAAAGGCTACGGTAGATCAAACCGAGAAGGAAATGATCGGACCGGCGAAGCGGGAATCGGGTCCACAGAGTATCGGGAGAAGGTGCAGAAGTAGTATCAGAGAGGACAATCGAGATGGGCAGGGCCGCATGTAAGTGCAAAGCAACCCCAGCAGCCCTCCCTCATTTTGAGTCAGCTTGAAAGACGGAGTAACCGTCTGTTGAGGTCTCCGCGTCAAAGACGTCTGGTGTGAGCCGCGTCTGTGAGTGCGATTTTGGACGGTCGTTCAAGGCAAACGGACCATTTAATACCGAAAATTTTATTTGAAAGAATGAGGCTGTTTGGGAGCAAGCTGCCTCCGAGGATGAGCAGCCGAAATTTGAGTGACCACGGAAGTCAGTAGACTTAATAGCTGTGCGCCGGGTTTCAGTACAAGGTTCCAAAGGATCTTCTGGGTCTTCGTCTGCTCCGTGTCTTGGTGGTTTCTGGGGATGCTTTTCGCTTGCAAGGTATTTTTCACCCCGTGAGAGAATTTTAGCATTGGGGGATGGGGTGTTTTTCCCGTGAGCGAAAATTTTGACCATTGCTTCGTATAACATTTTCAGCACCGCCTTTTTGGCGACCAGATTTGCTGTTGATCAAAGATTTGCGGTAAACTTTCGCCCTCCTGGATTCTTGGTTATTTTGGCGCGGTTTGACCGAAAAAGTTTCCTTGTGAGGCCCTGAGCGCTGGGTGGCGTCACCACAAAGTAATGCTTTTGGTGGCGCTCCCATTAGGCTCGTTTTCGCCGAGGGCTGTATCTTGAGGCCAGCCAGCAGTTTTCTAATCTGGCGAATCTTATGTGGCTTGTTTGGCTGCAGTCGCTTTTCTTTCGTGTTTGTGTGAACACCCGATCCGCCGGCGATCAGCATGGCCAACTGGATGTACGAAAGATTTCCCGATTGGCCGTACTCACGTTTATGGCTTTATTTGTCGGGGTTCAGGGCGACGATTGTGTCCACAAGGAGAGCGGCCGCTTTTGACGGAGTGGAGCCGGAGATTGGCTTCGCTGCTTGCCCCTGCACATGTGAATCATTCCGGTTCACAGGCTGTGGCTTTGGTGAGGAGTACATGGCTGCATTTGTGTCGTCTGTTGCGGAGCTAGGCGTTGATATCTCCACGTACTGTGGGTGCTGCTTACATGCGAGGCTTGTCACCTCTATGGCATCGCTGCTTTAAGTGGACGACAGGTCATTGGTGTTCGAATATAAACCGCTGTCCGGGCGGCCGGTTTGACGGAGTGAAGCCGGAGATTGGCTTCGCTGCTTGCCCCTGCACATGTGAATCATTCCGGTTCACAGGCTGTGGCTTTGGTGAGGAGTACATGGCTGCATTTGTGTCGTCTGTTGCGGAGCTAGGCGTTGATATCTCCACGTACTGTGGGTGCTGCTTACATGCGAGGTTTGTCACCTCTATGGCATCGCTGCTTTAAGTGGACGACAGGTCATTGGTGTTCGAATATAAACCGCTGTCCGGAGACGCGGCCGGTTGCACCGGCATGCTTTCAAGAGCACAAGGGGCGATGACCACAATCGGCTCGGCCATGAGTTTGGGATCGGCTGAACTGGCATCAAGCGAAAGCCTGTTTCGTGCCTCTACCCCTGATCTCCTGTGACCCAGCCTTCTCGCCTCTAGAGGGCGATCCTCAGATAGACGCCTGATCATTGGGTAGGCTTTCTGAATGCTGCCAGCCCGCTCCAGAAATTTCTGCACGGCAGATAGGGACTGAAGAGTGACTAGAAGCCCTAATGCTCGCTTGCTTCCCTTCTGGCGTAACCATTCTGTGTGAAGCGATTGGCGATGGAGCGTAGTAAGGACACGGCTAAGGAACGAATGTGCCAGCTTCCCTGGTGTGTTTTTTCCGAAGAATGACCCCCAGGTTATCAATCTGCTCTCCCTTAAGCGCCTGTCTACTGGAGACGCTGTGGCAGTCTTTTTAGTCGCGTCAAAGGGCTGTATGACTTTCTTCGCAGCCAGTGGACCCGGTATGGATAGCGTGAGGTACTCATTCAGCGAAGAGAGTTCTTTATCAACTTTCGTCCATGCTGTTGCACCCATCGTGTTTTAATCCTCCAGTGCCTCAGAAAGGAGCTCCAAGTTTGCGTCAAGTATCCAGATCAGAATCGAGCACTCACATCGGTCTTTCTGTCTCTGCAATGGGGAGTGAGTACCGTTTTGGGGGCTTTCTTCTTGGCTGCAGTATGCATTGCACTCTTAATGTGGAGGCAGCCGGTGCAGACAAAATCGGTAGGAGCGTTAGCTAATCGGTCCATCTGATCATCCTGTAAACCCGTGCATTTGAAGTGGTACTGGACTTTGCAGTTGTGGCATTGCACACTGCGCTTTACGTTCGACGGACAGCCATCTCGCCCACATCTGTTGTGGCAAATTGATGGCTGAAGGGGGCAGTAATGATTCGTGTGTACTCTGTGATTAGATTGAAAAGCGAAAACGTCTTCAACAAACTTGCACGAGGGAAGAACAAAATCGATTTCGAACGTATCGCTAAGATACTCGCAAAGGCTTTACAGTTAAGAGCATTGTGTTGCTAGTGTGCCAGAGGCTGGATAAGTTATCTGAAACCCGATGACGCCCACCTTCGCATCCTCCTCAGCTTGATTTGTGAAGATCGAACACATGCTGATGGGGCGCATTGGTCACACGATGATTTTACCCGCAGAATCTTTGAGATCGGAATAAAAGTTTTGCGCTGAAACATCGCATTTTGTTGCGTATATGCTCATACTTAAAAATCCCTAATCGACCCTCATATTTTTGCGGCTCACCAAGTTTCATTGTCCACTGGAGCAATCATATCTGTTTGATGATCCAACGGTCATTTGAATCTGTTAGCCGTGGGCGTTCAAAGACTGAGACGGCAGTTAGTTGTCCATGATGGCCATCACTAGCCTCTGCTAATCCTATATAGTGTGAAAAATTCATGCACACAAGAAGGATGAGTAGGCGGTTCATAGCGGTTCAGAGCCTCANCCCGGTCCAGGCCTTCTGTCTCTTCTCTGGTACACTCGTTCCTGGATTGTGGTATGTTTCCTTGTCTTTGCCCATGGCTCAGTAGTTATCCACTGCATCATTCGTTTATTTCTCCTCAGTTTATACCATTCCTCTTCGTTCCTGAAACTTGGACCACTGCTTCCTATTCCCGTGATTGGTACGCGAACCCGCCCGTTAGCTCCAATTCATAATCCCCCATCTTACACGAGGGAAAACACTGAAGAGCTTTGGGAACTGCTTCTTTTTTACGCCGTACCCAGCAGTCCTTGGCACACGCTATCTGAGTAGACAACTTGGATGGCAGTTCAAGAGGCAACCTGACGTAAGCCCCATAGAGTACCTATAAGTCAATGCGCGTAACGCGGGTGAAGGTGCGTCAAATCATCCGTAGAACGGCGAAAGCCATTTGGCCGATTTCTGGTGGTGCGTTTATAGAGAGCCGGATACCCAAATGTTTTTGGCATCCATCCTCGTTATTTCTTGTGGTACATTGTCATCATTCACGGCAGTGGCGTTCGCTTATTCCCTTCCCAATGACACATGGACGCAGTTTTCGTCATTTATAAGAGGGTTGTAGTACAACGACCGTTGCTTTGCAGCATCCACCTTCATTTGAATGGCACTGGCATTTGAACTGCAGGATTTCAAGTCGTCTGAAAAGGGTGGACATGGGCCTGAAAGAACGCCTAGAATGTCGTCGACGTATAGCAGAAACAGGGGTGTTCCCGCAACACAGCCCAGAGAAACTTTAACGGACATCGGCGCCGGAGAAGTGTACATGAGCCTATTTCACTCGGGGTGTCCTGTCTAATAGGAATGCCTCAATCCAGTGTAAAATTTTCCCTTGAATTCCCTAAGACAGGAGTTTGTGGAGCCGCGGGACGTGTGGGACTTGACCGAATGCGTTTTTGAAATTCCAGAAGTACTTCATTCGGTATCGGGCCCTCATCCTTATACTGGACCAAGCTGTCCATAAACATGAGCATGTTCATCACGCAAGAATGGTTTTTGAGCAATCTGTGTTGAACTGGGGATAGCAAGTTTTAGGTAGTATGGTGATTAACGATGGCCCGTTTCGGGATGCGTTACATCGCCTTGCGCCGTGCGCTAGTGAGGTAAATAGATCTGTGTTTTCCGGGCAATAGTCGTTCACCTGTCTCGGTGCCTCCCTTCCAAACATAGAGAAGATTGTCTTCGTCAGACGACTCACAAAAATTCAGGTAGAAATGCTTTTCAAGTGTAAATGACGGCTACTCCAGGATCTTTGGATGGAAACCGTCATGCCCAGCGCTAAAAACGGGTTCGTCTTTTGCGAGAGTTGACGAATATCTCATGTGGAAAGCAAGTTGGTAACAGGCCTTTTGTGGTTACGTCCTGAAATGATCGAGTGCAATGGGGACGTTGAGGCAGAATAAAGACCTGCAAAGTATTTTCTGTAGATATAAGATACCACCGTTCTATCACTCGTGGGTTCCCTGAACCGGTCTCCTAAAGTGGACGTGGTTGGTTCATTTCTGCGTGAAAATACCATGTAATTAGACAGCACAATTTTGTTTTTATGGACGATGTCCATCACAGTGGCTCGTTTACGCGTGGTTCATTGACTAATTTTTGAACCAAAGCGGTTTCGCATTTTACGAAACGCCTGCTTACGTTTTCTGTCTCCTGTTTTCAACTTTTTTAGAAATATCTCAAACCGCTTTTCCAGAAGACGCAAAATCCTGTTAGGCACCAAGCGATCCGAATGATTGCGCGCTGGTTTTTTGAGGTGAGCATCGCGGCAATCTGGTGATTTTTCTGGACATTGGCCCTATATGACTCTTCTCTGCAGCTAGCCCTACTTTAAATTGATAAGGAAATTGCACATTGCTGTTACACAGGTTTTGAATCCGCATCGCGTCGCAAGAGGGTGCGGAACCGGCATCGGAGAGGGTGGTCGGGATGGGTATTCTCGCGTATAAATATATTACAACCCGCCGGCCCCACCACGTTTTGGGTCAGCTCGGAAGATACAGTAGCCGCCTATCGGGATTTTGGACGGCTATTTAAGGCAAGCTGCGTGTAAAATATCACGAAATTTGTTGAAAAACTGAGGCAGTTTTCGGACAAGCATTCCAAAACAGTCTCTTGCGTTTCCGAAGATGTGAAGAGTTGTGCTGCCAGGCAGGTCAGAGATTTAATAGCTGGTGGCCGGGTTTGAGTCTGAGACTCCCAGCGGGCCTCTCCAGCACACTTGTCTGCTTAAACCTTACTGTAATAGGCACTTTGGAGATGACTTGGGTGTACATAGTTCTCAAAATTGAATGCTACGCTGAATTCTACAAACTACTGGTCAATCAGGCCGACATTGAAAGTCTCCTTCACGCTTTTTGTATCCTACAGATGTCGCCGAATAATCAGTTGTAGTCAAAATTTATCCATGATGTCCACCTACATGCAATGCACGGTCGAACTACTGCTCTTCGTGCAGTGAAAATATATTGTAACAAATCGATGGTTTTGGTTCATTCGGACGATTGCTGGTTCTTGTGCTCAATCCGCAAGATCTCTTGAGAAGTTTCAGATTTGTGATTGCGAAAATTTCAAGAGCATGTCGCGGTCTACCTGTCCATTGTTTTGTATGATGATTTACCCTCGCAAACAGCAATAAGCTTCGAGGTACTGCTTTACATGGAAGATTATCGCGGTCAAAAGCACAAGGTCGATCAATGTGAAAACGGACACTTGTGCGCTAATTTGTGCACCCGATTCACTAGGGAACGAACATGCTGGTGGTCTCCCAAATCTCCACCATTTCTCGCAACGCGACATAAGGGCATTTAGTGAAATGCCAGGTTAAACCTTCAAAGCCAAATTACTGCGATTTCTGGCGCGGAGCTTGATGGCATATTCTGGCAACATTAAGAAGAAAACAATGGCGCGTAGGGTTCGATTTGCATGTGTAACAGTCAGAATATGCTGACTGCTGGTTTTGGGCTGAGATTCTAGAAAGTGTACAGCTTAACCCAAGCCAAGGACGAAGGACACATATCGGATGCCATATTTTTCGACTTCTCAAAAGCATTTGATGGGGTCCCACACGTCCCGCTGCTCCACAAACTCGAGTCTTACGGGATTCAAGGGAAAATCCTTCGCTGGATCAAGGCGTTCCTATCAGACAGGTCATTCCGAGTGAGAATAGGCTCAACCTATTCCTCTCCAGCGCCGGTCTCCATTGGAGTTCCTCAAGGCTCCGTCTTGGGACCACTCCTGTTTCTGATCTACGTCAACGACCTCCCAGACGTTCTTGCGAGTCCATGTTTACTTTTTCCGGACGACTTGAAATCCTGGAGTTCCAATGCCAGCGCCCTCCAAATGGATGTAGACGCTGCCAAGCAGTGGTCGTTGAACTGGCACCTTCCTCTGAATGATGAAAAGTGCCTCCATGTGTCGTTTGGTGGGGATTCAGCGAATGCCTTTGTTATGCATGGTGAAAAGGGACCAGAAAAAATCATGAGGATAGATGCCAAAAAAGATTTAGGCATCTGGGTCTCCTCAAACATGGCCTTCGCACTACACCATGAGAAATCGGCCCAAAAGGCATTCGCCGTTTTACGGATGATCCGACGCACCTTCTCCCGTATTACTCGCATGGACTTCCAAATACCCTATGGGGCCTACGTCAGACCGCTCCTGGAGTACGCCAACCAAGTTGTCTACTCAGGACGCACGAAATACATCACCCTCATTGAGCGTGTCCAGCGGGCAGCTACGAGAATTGTTGCCGGCCTTAAATCCGTGGACTACGAAACGCGTCTCGCGATGCTTGATCTCTTTACCCTGTATTACCGTCGTCTCCGACGGGACCTAATTCTTACTTACGCTCTGTTTGAACAAAGGTTGGCAAACAGGATTTTACCGTTGGCGGGTGCATAATAAGAAAATTTTCTAGCTCAGAGCACACACATTCATTACACAAAATTTTTTCTCATTTCGAGTAGTAGCTGCGTGGAATGACCATCCTCCAACGGTTGTCCACGCTCCTTCTAGAACCCAGTTTAAGGCACTATTAGACATTTATTTATGCGAATCCTCGCGTTGGCAACCACACTGCCCCGCTCTGCGAACATACAGAGCAGTGCTACACCCTATTTTCGCTTGTGCCTTTCAGGTGAACGACAGCCAGTGACCGACAAGAACAAAACCGACCCGGGAAACTTGGGAAATAGCCTCGATCCTGTGTATCAATCCGTGGATCCCTGTGAATGCGTGAACCAAACTGGGCTAAACGGGACCCATAGCATACAACAGATTTTAACAAAGAATGAACCTTGAGTAGAGCGTTTACACCTCCATAGTGATATTAAATTCCATAGTAAACTACGCCTGTCGCTACCTAGGCGAGGCTCATATATACTAAACCTGAAAAAAGCCCGATTGACACACCAACTGAACTGAACAATGGCGATTTGTTTGACTGCATTGTCCAAGCCTTTCAAAGTGTTGGAGGTCGTCGTAGGTCTCAGTGTATCACACAATGGGGCCGAAATGGGTAAGTAAGGTATATTCGGAAATCAGACTCCCCACCATTTGCGCAGTTACAAGTTCGAGTTACCCTCCCGGAGTCCGTGCTGGAGTTCAAAATGAAACCCAACTCCAGTGGTCGACAGCTTTTCAATCAGGTACGTCGCACTTTCGTCCTGATGCAAATGTAAGGTTTGTACCACTATCGGTCTGCGGGAAGTTTGGTATTTCGGCCTGCAATATAATGACTCCAAGGGCCTTACTAAGTGGGTGAAGCTAGACAAGAAGATTTCTCCAGTTTCAAAAGCTCCAAGTCAAGCCGTTCATCCCAAGACCTCGTTTTTTCCCTAATAGTACAAACCACGATACACATCCGACATCGACTGTCTACCATCTGATACGGTAGCAAAAAGTCATGCGCTGACACCCACACACACGCAAACGTCCTACAAATAGGATGCCAGCACAGCAACACCACACAACTCAACAGAGCTTCGCACGTCGCCCAGCTCGGAGCAGAGCTGCTCAGGATTTTTTACGGCGTTTCACTCACGGATATCCGGGACTACATGTGGCTGTTACAACAGCGAAGAAGACACAAAACCTGCATCCGGACATACAACAGGATTTATCAAACTGTACCTGCAAAACGATAGGTCCCTTGTTTGCATATATATCTACTGTAACAATTTCGCCCAACAAGCGGACATTGTTATTGCTCCCCGTTTTCCCGTTCGTATAACTAGTTTTCGGGTTCTGTTAGAGCATTAACAAATCCACTTTTGAGGTTCCGGACTTCTAGCACAGTAGCGGATGAATTATAATCTTAGTCCACAGTGGTTACTTTGATTTGGTTTTTGGTTCATTTCTTCTACTTTCTGTGTTGTGCAACGCGATTCCAAATTTTGTTATTTTGGTTTTGCGCGTATGCCACCTTTCTTGTTTTGACCCAAACATAAACCCCTCTTTGACCTTGTCATCGGACGTGTAGTTTAAGTTTACAGTGGTCTCGCCACCTTGTAAACGCTTGACTTTAAGTCTGTGCATACGACCAAAACTTCTGGCTTTTCAACGCCAGTGCCCTTCAAATGTATTTAGACGCTGCAATACAGTTATAGTTTGCCGGCCAAACTCCTCTGAATTATGAACGGTGCGTCCATGTGTCATTCGGAGACTCAGCGATCACCTATGTCGTGCACGCCGAGATTTGATCAAAAGCCATCACGAGGATAGATGCCAAAAACGATTTAAATATCTGACTCTCTTCAAGAACGTCTTCTTACTGCACCACTCAAAGGGCATTCACCGTCCTGTAGATGATTCGGTGCATCTTCTCCCGTCTTACTCGGGTGAACTTTTAAATACTCTATGAGGCCTGGATAAGAACGCCTCTAAATATGCCAAACAAGTTGCCCAGTCAGGACGCACGAAGGACGCAACCCTCTTGACGGTTTCCAGCGGGCAGCTACGAGAATTGTTGCCGGCCTTAAATCCGTGGACTACGAAACGCGTCTCGCGATGCTTGATCTCTTTCCCTGTATTACCTCGATCCTGTGTATCAATCCGTGGATCCCTGTGAATGCGTGAACCAAACTGGGCTAAACGGGACCCATAGCATACAACAGATTTTAACAAAGAATGAACCTTGAGTAGAGCGTTTACACCTCCATAGTGATATTAAATTCCATAGTAAACTACGCCTGTCGCTACCTAGGCGAGGCTCATATATACTAAACCTGAAAAAAGCCCGATTGACACACCAACTGAACTGAACAATGGCGATTTGTTTGACTGCATTGTCCAAGCCTTTCAAAGTGTTGGAGGTCGTCGTAGGTCTCAGTGTATCACACAATGGGGCCGAAATGGGTAAGTAAGGTATATTCGGAAATCAGACTCCCCACCATTTGCGCAGTTACAAGTTCGAGTTACCCTCCCGGAGTCCGTGCTGGAGTTCAAAATGAAACCCAACTCCAGTGGTCGACAGCTTTTCAATCAGGTACGTCGCACTTTCGTCCTGATGCAAATGTAAGGTTTGTACCACTATCGGTCTGCGGGAAGTTTGGTATTTCGGCCTGCAATATAATGACTCCAAGGGCCTTACTAAGTGGGTGAAGCTAGACAAGAAGATTTCTCCAGTTTCAAAATCAAAGGATGCGCGGATGGAGTTTATCTTCAGAGTAAAGTTCTACCCGGAAGAGGTTTCTGAAGAACTAATCCAAGAAGTTACACAACGCTTGTTTTACTTTGAAGTACGTGGGGTGTGTGCTAATCTTCCATCGGGCTAGGTGAAAAACCAAATAATATCAGGCGAAATATACACGTCTGCTGATTGTGCGCTGCTATTGGCTTCGTACCAGGCCCTGATTCGTCACCAAAGATACGACCCAGCAATTCATAAAGCAGGCTATTTGACCATTCGGAACTATATCCCGGAACAGTGAGTGTGTTGCGTATTTTCTGACCTGTTTTAATGAGTTTTCTCTAGAAGTTTTAGTTTCTCCGTGGTAGTGTCTTGCTCCCGTAGAGTTCGCTGAGCGCACAGAATATGAGTCTCTAATCAGTCAGCCGTAATTTTTCTGCACTATTGGCATTCCGGCTATTGTTATCTTGGCTTAGGCAAAATGTCAGTACCCCAGCCCCGAAGTTCCATTATCCGGCACGGGAAGGGTGTAGCAGCCGTGCAGTCTGAATTTCCGAGATGTTTGTTATCTAATTTAGGAGCTATCACAATGCAATCTGGTGCCCTCTGACTTTAAGAATGCTCGGTACCGTAAGGCGCTGCGCGGTCATGTCAAAGCATGTTTAGGAATTGACTTGGTCATATAGGATGCCCCTAAAGAGGAAACATTTCCGTCAAGTACACTCATTAGCAAATCAATTTGATTTTCACGGCAGACAACTGAATCTCGTTAATGATATTCTTCAACTGAATGTTGAAGCGCTTTTGGCAGTGTGGGATTTTCTGTTGTGATTGTCGTCCGATAAAACATTTTGTGGTTCTGAGGGAACGTCTGATTATCCGTATACTGCGTCTCCAACGGAATAGACATATGACTCCTTTTAACTACGTCCGTCCATACTCCCGAATGTTAAAGTGGAAGTGAAAATTTCCACCTATTGGCTCTCGTTGACCAACAGCGGTTGGTTATCGATCCGGGGTTTAGTTATGGAAGGTCGATCAGTGCGCACTAGGGATGTGGAAAATGCTAATCGACCATGGGTCCCTCGGGCGCATTTTTTGAGCCTGGTTGTATGAGGAGACGTCGAACTGAGCGGTTTGCTCGTGATGCCCAAGCATTTATAGCAACATTAGGTCCGGTCACGCCTTTTAGGGTCACTAGACTGTAGTAACTTGTCCGGCGCCCTCATACCCACCGTGACAGCTAAAGGCTTTGAACGTTACTACGAAGGCGGATGCTGAATGTCTAGCCCTACTATCTGTATCCAGTGGGCGTCATTTCGGACCAAAACTGGATGTCCATGTATGGAGATCTCGCTTCTATTGCTGTTCCCAGGCCAACATCTCTGTGTCATCATTGGTGCTGGTTTGTCTTCCAGCGGGGCTTTTCGCAACAAAACACTAGCGGACCGAGGAATCCGAGGCTTGAAACCCGCGTTTTGGCTACGTTTGATGGGGTTGGGCTAGTTCCAATCCGCACCAACTCCAAATGGGTTGTACGCAAAGTCGGGAGACTTTAGGACAGCGATGCTTGCCACCCCTAGTTTTCTTCCTAACACGTCGTATTATAAAGAACCAACGGTTTATCCTGGAAATTGTCTTATTTATTGCATGTGGACTCCAAAAATGGGCCGTGCTAGCGAAATATCTGGAGACAGTAACTGAACCCGTCTCATGGTGACAAAACGGTGGCGTCTTCAACCCACGTGTTCAAATGGGAAACCATAAGTACGTTGGAAAACTACCGTGTCAGCCTGTGAGGATTTCTGCACAGTATCCTTATTGGACCTAGAGGCCTTGACAGGAATGATGTGGGAAGTCGTATTGCCAGTACAAGAAAGTGGCTCCCAACTGATGGAAATTTTGTGATACGAGGCGTGTTGGCGTGCCCGCCCAAAGGCCAAGGCTATGAAGCTGGATTTCGCTTTTTTCTGCCTCATGAATGCCAGGCCTCGTCTTCATCTGCACTACTGCCATAATCCAGTAATATTCTCAAGGTAGCTCAGTGGCGGAGGAGTGAACTTACTGACGTGAAGGTCCATGGTTTGAATCTAACCTCGGCACCTTAACTGCTGCTCTACCTCTCGACATCCCCTGTCCAGGCAACGGCAGTATCCCAGCCCTCGTGCCTCCTTCGGGAGGCATGCCAGCTAGGCACCGAAAGGGTGTCACAGGTGAACGAGTGAACGAGCTGATTGCCGCTCTTTTGGCCTGGGTAACCTGGCAATATCTCAGAACTGCTTCCTGGGAGCGAGCAAGGCAACTGGAAATCGAAATGGTGTTACAAGTGAACACCTAATATTACTCACTACCAGTATACATGTCTGACTTCAAGTGCCACCGGGTTGCTAGCGCACATGAGCCTCCTTAGTGTTGCTCACAGATGGAGGGGAATCTTTGTTCCCCTTTGGGTTCTGCTGCAAAGAGAAGGCCTTTCTGCAGTGTGGCGATTTATGTACATCTGCCATCCATTGAGCTATACTGGAGGGCTTCATAGTAAAACCTTCAGAGCTCATACCAGACTCGCCATTGGATAGATTGACGAACAGAATCTCCTGCTTCTCTAGGTAGTACTATTTGGTCGTACGTTGGCACCCACTTGCTTCATTAAGGTAAGGTTTTTAAAACTTGACGTTTAAGGACCCTGATCCTCCACCGGATCAGCAATGCTGAAATAGGTCGAATGGTATTCGGAAGAAATAACTCTTCCATGATAGATGAACTGATCACACTCCACAGGTTGTGCTGGCTTGGCCACGTGCTCCGTACACCAGTAGACAGACTTCCTCCTAAGGTTCTTTTTGCACAACCACACAAAGGGTGAAAACGAGCCAAGGAAGGTCAAACAATGACTTAGCAGCGAAGCGTGAACGCCATTACTAGCGAACTCAGATGCACTAGTCATTGCGTCCCCCCGGATGGAGACCCCGAGGCGGGCCACATGGATGGTCGGAGACATCATCAGACATGACCAAGTCACGTTCTCGATGGACCTCGTGCATCCAAGATATTTCTTTCAATGCATAGCTCTCTTCCTTATCTCCCCAATTCTCCACTGACAACCCTATATTTACGCATCAGTAATGTCAGCTCCCGTCTCCAGTCCGCATTTACTTATCCTAAATCTCCAAATAATCGATGGACGAAACTGTGGTACCAACAACTGTACGACAAGTACGCAGTTCTTACAGCTGTTGATGACGATGAAGATGTGATTGATGCATCCTCTTGCAGATCGGAACCCAGCTTGGTTTTCGCGGATCGTCCTCTCCCTGTGTTCAGGATAAAACCACAGGGGACTTTCGATGCCACAGCTACCAGGCTGGTGCCACGGTGGTTTTCACTGTCTCCGCATACCATTTTTAAAGATAGGAATAACCAGAGCTGTCAGTCTTTTCTTAGACTCTTCACTATTTGGCGTTTGAAGGATTTGTGTGCGCCGTCTTACTGCTTGCCTGCTGGTATGGCTTTCTTGACATTAATCATGGATAGCAATCTCGAAGACATCAAGTGGTTTTGTGGTTGAATCGGAGTCCGACGGACAAGTGAACGCCACCTGTGTAGTTCCCGTCACATTTTGCCGCTTCACCCACATACTCACTGCCAGTACATTATTTTGCTGTGTAGTTGGGCTAGCTCAGATCGATACTGTTGAGCTATGGTATTTTTTTTCGAAAATGCTGGATTGGTATACCTCTTGGTGGGTTGCGAGGGCCTGAGGGACAACGATCTGCCAGGCGTGCATGGCGTGATCGGAATCAAGTTGTGTGGAAGGAACTGGAGTCTTGACTTGTGGCTGTACACCGGTGGTTGATGGGCATGTGATCCAACTGGGTCCACGGTTGATTTGCAGCTGGAAAGCACCAGGTTTCGCGATGTGAACGTTTATGCTGAAAGTTCGTACTGTGGAGCCAATTGGCTCAGTGGTTAGAGCGCGAATTCACTGACTTGAAGGTTCGTGGTTTTAACCCGACTCCTACCTCGACTTTCCCTGTCTAGGTTTAAGCAACCTGGCACCATCCCAGACTTCGTGCTTCCTTTGGTAGCCAGGCACTGAAAGTGTTACAGCTGGACGACTATCTACTCCATTTCCTTCCTAAGGCCATCTGGCTTACATCAACATCAACCCGACGTTTCCACTAGGCCGGGCCATTGCTTTGGAGACACCGATGGTCAAACACTGCGTACCGTTTCACTGACACCTGTCTTCTTTTGGCCGTTTGGTGGAACCAGTTAAAACAGGGCGCGGATTTTGCCTGCAGTAAAAGCCTCCGATATCTCCCGAGCCTTCGAAGTCCGCCACCATTCTGTCATTCTTCGAGCTTCTGATTATCCGGTGTTTGAGGGATCTGCATGCGCCACCATAGTCATTAGTTGCTGGTGGGGCCTTTCTGATAGCAATAAGATCTCATCTCAGCAGCATCCGGTGTCCATTTAGTTGGATCAGGTGGCTTGGACAAACAATTCTGAAAGCCGAGAGCATTGCCTCTTTAACTCTCCTCCAGTTGGTCATCTGCATGACCGCGTTTCCAGTAGCATTTCAGCCAGATCAGCTCGGTACTCTTGAGCTACTGAAACTTGTCAAAGTTGATGAACGGAGCTGCTCTCCTTTGCCATGCCTAATGCTGATGGAAAGCGAAATGTTGACCGGACCCGCACGATGGCATGATCGGAGCTAAGTTGCATGACCCAGAAGGAACGACAATCTCTAACCAGGTTTCTGCATCCGTAACCGATAACCACATGGTCCAGTTGATTGCGTGACTGTTGCGGTTGGTGGTCTCAAAGTAACTCGATGTGAGCGTTTGTACTGGAAGGTTATACTGTCCAGGAACAGACGATGGTAAGCACACAACTGAAGCCGTCGCTCCGCACTATACGTACGCTGAGCATCGATTCCAAATCTACTGTTTGAGTGTGCTTCATCTGGACTTATTCGTCCAACTTTGGCATTCATACCACCCGCTAGGATTACTGTATCCGTCCTCGCTGAGCGAAGCAGTCGCGACAGATCTTGATGAAACTCGTTCTTCTTAGTCTCGGAACTGCTGTCTATCGAGGCTTATGTTGAAATGACAAACAGACACCGCGTCGACCAGCACTAATCCTAATTGAGCCAGTCCAGTAAGGCGTTTTCAGCCTCGGAGCTTAATACAAACCCCAGATTATAAATACCATTGCGTCAAGATCACCAGATATCCGTAGAGCGAAATGTGGAATATCTGGGTTTGGCCTAATCGGCTTGAGAAGCACGACCAAAATAACTCATATCCAGCAGGGGAGCACATTATCATCTGTCAGAGTACTTTGAACAACATATCAGCTATCCAGAAGCCTCCTCCAACCCGTACTGCTAATCTTCGACAGACGGGTAGACTGTGATAATGGGATCCCCTCCGACCTCAGAAGTATCCGAGTGTGTATCTCTGCTCAAGCGTCATCGTGCTTCCGGTTCTGATCGCCTTCCACCTGTCCTGTTCGAGGATCGCGGTGAATCTATAGCTTGTTTGCATCCATCGGTAGAAGGACACCGTTCCAGACCATTGTGTTTGGTCAACAGTACGGCCCATCTTTGGAAAGTGTACCACAATGATGTGCGTCCGACTTCCTCTGTAACGAGGCCTCTGACAACACTGATTCTTTATCATCTTACGGTGGCCGGTGAAACTTTGACGCGGGATTTCCCTGGGCTACAGGCTTCACCAGCCACATCTCACCGCCTCAGGTATTAGAGCAGATGGCCCACAATCTAGGTGTTTCTTGGCTTCAAGAGTGCGTTCACTTCTGTCGACCAGAATTTTGTTAACATAATCCCTCATAGACGTGTGTGTGTATGGTAAGGTCTCTAAAAGATCCCTTACAAAAGTAGTATCCGGCAAGTATGCCCACTCTTCCCGTTCTTATTCAACTTCTTTATTGATGAGCTAACGAGGCAAACGCTGGAAGGTTTTCGGAACTCTGATAGATCGTTGCTGGTAATAACCTCGTCGATCTGGAATACACAGACAAAATCATACTCTTGTTTGAAAACGGATCTATACACAAGCTCTGTTACACAAAGTAACTACCATCATATCACCTTTCTGCATACGCATTGCACTTACAAAGTGCTGAGACAGGCTTCACAACATAGTCACCGAATGCCCTTTGCAAGTGCCTGATTGATTGTATTATCTCTGATGGAAGTGTGCCTTGTGACGTCAGTGCACGAAGCTTCAAGGTCAAAGTCACGTTTGGCAGTTTGCATCCTTTTCAGGGGTCGTGTGTAGCAGTTTACAGTAAGGGCTGTATTGTTGTACGGCCGCGGGACGTAGCCTCTGCGAACAGATGATGTGAGTCATCCTCAGTCTTTTTTTTACCACCGATGTTTCGGAAGTGTTGCTGATATCGAATGGCATCAACGAAATCGCTACGAGGTAATTAGGAAACGGGTATTCGATTGTTCAGCAATTACTTCGGTCGCCGAAAGCATCCGGCGCCATCAACTGCGGTGACTTGGCCATGCCCTACTTGTGCCTACACACCACTTACCAAAACGCACTTTACTCCCCATACCTCCATTAGAATGGCACAAACCGCGATGTGGACAAATTGTGATTTGTCAGAGAGATATGTAGAGACTACGAAGAGTTTGGGTGTCGGATGTGCGTTCGCCTTCCAGGATGTAGTCATCGTGACCCCTCCTGCGCTTCTCTGGAGACGTTGCGTGAAGTGGCGGTTGATCGATGTCGGTCGCGTTCGTGCTATCAGTTCTTTCCAGGTTGCCCTCCTGCGCTTCTCTGGAGACGTTGCGTGAAGTGGCGGTTGATCGATGTCGGTCGCGTTCGTGCTATCAGTTTCTTTCCAGGTTGTCTACTTGAGTGCTTGGAGAAGTAAACATGTCAGAATGCTTGCGATAGGCCAGAGCCATGTCCCCTTCCTTATACACTCTTCACCCACATGCTTTGAAGATTGTTGGATAGACTTTGGTTGTAAGGCAACGAAGGAAAGAAATCATTTAGGTGTAGCACCCTTTCAGTACCTAGCTGCCCAAAGGTAGCACGAGGGCTGTGATACTTCCATTCGCCTTAGGCTAGAGAGGAGCAGTCGAGATGTTTGGAATAGGTTTGATGTATAGATCTTCAGGCCAGTAAGTTCAAGTCTTAACCACTGAGCTATCCATAGGCCCAATACCAGATCACCGATAACGTGAACTCTGGTTGCGAGTCCACAATGCTAATGGTTTGCAATCCTTCGGTGGAAAGTTAAATTGGCAGTTGGTCTCCTCACTGTCTGTTGCAGCTTGTTTCTGCACATGTAGGCGAGTGTACTGTCCACTCGTCTAAGCTCCCCTCACTTTATTCGCATCACATCTCTGCTCTCCTTTATTTCAAATCCGGTTTTCATACAGCCGAGTTATCACTTGCATTTTCATGTCCCTAGCATTCGCTCACAGTATAGCCTGTCCGATGAGGAGTGGGAAACAAAGATCGCCAAATGGCACGAACAACATGGGGATATGTCGAAACAGGATGCGATCATGGAATATCTCAAAGTCGTGCAAGACTTGGAGATGTATGGGGTGACGTATTTTCCTATAAAAAACAACAAGCAAACCCCACTCTGGCTGGGTGTTGATGCACTTGGACTCAATATTTATGAACAGGATGATCGGTAAGTGGTCTTGACAGTCAAAGGGTTCATGTGAATATTTGTCGTTCGAACATTTTCTATGTATTTTCTATTCTGGTTCTCAAACTCACCACTTAGAAGCGAGAATGTCGCTAGGATCCATTTCATTGATCAGCACTTATCGGTGACACTTGGAGTCGCAACGTTCGTAAGTGGAGTACTTTTTCTGTCGTAGGTTACCTTTCACCAAGAAACTAAGTCACCACTTGTTTATTTGAGACGCGACGGATAGGTTTTCACTGTTTGAGTACCAAAAGGTTTCAGAAAACGAGGCTATCTGCTCAAAGTGGTCCTAGTAGCAACTATTACTCGCGTTTTCAACATAATATAATATAGTAAGACGTTGGAACCTTTGCATCTGGGATTAATTCTTCATCAAGAGCGCCACGAACCTGCTTCCAAGTTCAGCCTTTTACATTATCGTAAATCCCGTGGCCTTCGCTAAAACGTTCCTACTTCGCACTCATGTTTCTACCATAAGAAAAACTACCTTGTTGAATTAGTGTTAGTGCATCAACGCTCAGTTGTTTTCCAGTTTCAGATAACCGAATTCAATTCAGTTCGGTTCAGGAAGGGCTGCATGCATCTTGAGTGGTTGCGCACAAGTTTTGTATCTTGATATCTGTCGATAGGGAACTCGTGACTTAATAACACGTTGACCAATCTTCAAAAGCTAAAGGTGACCTCGTAAAATGCATCTGTTCGAAGCCGTTCCGTTGTCGTACTTAGTGAACTAGTTCCAGCGGTGACTGCATTTTTTGCTTTCAAAATTCTTCCAGTCCACTTGGATCCGACCTATTCTATCAAGAACTTACCGGAGCGTGGGACGATCTTAAAAACCTTCCCATAATTGCGTTTTCGTCACCCATAAGATAGACCATCTTTCTGTGTGATTGACACCAGCTACAGGCAAAAAATGGGGTATCCAGCAACCTATTATCAGAATGCACACTAATTGCTCATCCCTGGATGAGTTGTTTTTCAGGTTTCTTGTTCTGTTGTCAGACATAGCATTTGATGACACTTTTTTCTCAAGCAGTACGTCTTGTTTTTTGGTTCACCCGGAACTTACTGGTTCTCTAGTTAGTCTAGTTTTTACTTTACCTCTAGCAGTGTCGTTTTCTCGATTACTTTACAACCATACCACAACTCGCATTCTTTAACTTATTTCGTCACTGGAAGACACCAATTTCAATCCATTTGAAAACCGTATCTTGAAAATTGTGGTTATCAGATGTAATGTGGAACTTTGCACGAAAGAATAAACGTCTGCACGGTATTGTACGTAGTTCAGAGCAGGCACCGTCTTGTTGCCTCATCATTGTCAGTTTGTCGACAAATTCAATGTGGGATTCAGGATTTGATACTCATTTGGGATCGGTTTATTCTGCTTCGCTTACTCTGTGCGTAATCTGGGCTGCTGTACGGCAGTTTATCGGATTGGGTGTTACTCCGACCGGACTTCAACAGCTCCGCTTGCTGACTAATCGCTTCTACCTGTGCACGCGCCAACCGCGCCTGAGACCGTTCTGTTTCCTTTTACAGCCTCACTCCGAAAATCAACTTCCCGTGGAATGAAATCCGGAAATTGCAATATAGTCACACGAAGTTTTCCGTCAAACCTTCTGATCCTTCCGGTCAGGTAATTTATTCTTATCGCTCTGTTCTGTTATATAAATTATCAGTATGGGGAGGGTACTGTGAAAGCACCAACTGAGTCTGAATGTGTGTATGCTGCGGTAGGATTCTTGCGCCGTGAGATAGCAGAAGTGTCGCACATCAATAGGAATGTTTATATTCGCAAGCCTTTACAGGCTACATTAAGGCTGTTTTCGACTGAAACAGGGATTCGTTGAGTCGGTAGACCATGTATGAGCGCCACAAGTTTGGCTGCACCTATGTGCATAAAAACGAAATAGATAGTTATGTGGCCACCGGCTCGCACGTTAAGGATTTACCTCAGGCAAACAAGCGATGTTAGCCAGTTCATTTTGGAAATCACTTGCCTTCATAGTCTGTTAGTTATTGCTTAGCCTCGGATTACTTTGTCATCTGGCGCGTACGCACCTCTTAATTGCCTAACAAACCTTGACTTACTCGATCGCGAAGTTAATTCACCCACTCTTAGCTTCATGATTTCCACATCATAGTCCTAGCAGGTCAGTTCAATCACTGGCAATAGATCGGTTCATGGGAGGTGATACAGTCGTGATCTGTGGTTCAGTTGCCCAGTGTGTCCGGTACAGTCGAATTTTTCTGGTTCTCTTGTATTGCCACACCACACTCCTCACTATGATGTTTTCTCTTTGACTAGGATTTGTCCTTCTACTGTGAATCCAATGCTTCCTGCAAGCTGGTTCTCGCTCTCTGTACCGGAAACCATGAACTGTATGCCCGTCGCCGTGGTCCAGATTCAATCGAAGTACAGCAAATGAAAGCCCAAGCGAAAGAGGCGAAGACTGCTCGTGATGCAGAACGGTGAGTACTCATCAGTGTACGTTACGGCAACTACATTTGAAGCCCCGCTGTAGCCATAACTGTAGGACAGCATAAAATCAGTGTTGAATACTGATGCGTCGCTGATGTTTGGTATGGAGTGGGTGGCCTCACTATTCTGGAAATGGTTCTGAAAGATGTTTTTCTGGTTGCTCTACCAATCTGATCCTCGTATTCTGGTAATCAGGGTTTTGTCAGTATGAATAAGGAAACTGGATTTCCAGCCCTGGTTACTGAGTCACCAGTGCTGCCATCGTCCTTACTGTATAAAGTGCTGTAGTTGCTTTGCCGAAGTGCAGACCGTTTTTAAGTACCGTCCAGATTGAGAGTGTACAACGGTCGGATTTGCTGGGACTGGGTGAAAGTTTGTTGTAGCGGGACTGCGTTTAAACCATAGTTAGTCTCCTTTTCACACAATTTTCGGGAAAAAATCATCACTTAGGAATTCATTGTAGTGAATTGACAGGCGCACTTGCGTCCTGTGAGTTTTGTCTGGGTTGAAATTCCGTATACGATAATTGTCCCTATGCCTCTAATGAGTGATGGAAAGCCTATCCAGTTTCATTCAGGCGCAGCACAAAAAATTTAATTGCCTTATTACCCTAATAGGCTCAACCATATGGGATCACTTAGGCGTTGTTTCTGTTTTGTGTGAGGTATAATTTAATGAATTCACACTTATTATAACGTTGACTACGACGTCCCATACAGTATATAAAAACTACCCCGTAACTTCTGTCCTTGGTTCGAAATAAACTATGCCTGTCGTGCTCCAACGGTTGATGTTTGTCTCATCAGAAAAGCAACAATCATACCAGCAGTACAGCAGATGGAGAATCGTTTCTACTGTGTATGTCCGCTAGCACCTGTCTTTCGTGTCCGCCGTGTTCTTCATATCCAGTAGCAGTAGATCCAGTGCCTGATGCGTTTCCAGCAGACGTCCTTCTAGCATGCAGTGACTTTTCATAGAGTTGTTTCTAACGAATTCAGATTACTTACTGTTGGATGGTTTGTAAGTAATAAACTCCTCAAAGTTCAACAAGAAATGTCTTTTAAAGAGTACCATCCTCCAAGTATTAAATGATTTCTCAAATTTTTCCCAAGTAGTAAATATGTCTTTTGGTCGCAGTAAGGTGGATGATTATCAACAATACAAGCAAAACTTCAGGTGGAATCGTGCAACTGGTTGACTGATCTGCACAAATAGACCTCAGATCTAACTAGGCCGGTCCATCACGGTATTTTCCCGCTTTTTATAGATGCAGTCGATATCTCTCTGATAACAATGGCCTGCTTATTTTGACCAGTAAGAAACACGAGTGGTCTAGTTTAGCTCGTAGTACATTAGTCGGCCGTCATCGTTGTTGGAGGGGTAAGGGGTGCTTCAATCGCTCTTGCAACATATATGATTGCAATCTTCATTTGGTGGAAAGTACATTATTACAACCTAATATTGGGAAGTGACATTCTGCCGCACTCCATCGTGGGGTCGCATTACGTCTGCGAATTGCTCCTAGCTGCGGATGAAGTGATACTTCAGCTACAGTAGCTCTACGATGAAGGGGTCAATTCAAGCACGTAGGAACATCCCCGAATTGCAGTGCGTTGCTCGCGCTGTAGATATATTTGTATCTGCTCACCGCCGACTACGACAAACGGTGGGAGCTCTAGGCAGCTGCACAAAATCTGCACAATCCGCTGTAGCAAACACTACTCCAATCGCTTGTGCGATTAGCCCTGTTGATCGTGTCTGTCACACGATTCGCCATGGTCAATGATTGTAATGTTAAGTAAGAAGGCCGAAATATTGGATGATTGGTTTTCGGAGCTATAAAGTGAAATTTTTAATCAGCAAGAGCAGATTGTCGATGAGGAGAACTGCAGCAGAAAGAAACCCAGGTAGAGGCCACTGTAGGGTGGCTTACGTGAGCGTCGGATTTTAGTCGAACCATGTCAACGCGATCCGCATTGCTATTGACTTCGTATTCCCACTTGGACTAATTTATCTTTGTAGTTCGAAGAAGACTTTTTACAGCTCTCCCTTGGACGACCACTACATTGCCATCCTCTTTCGCGGTTATTGTTGTTACTTCTGGTCCTCTCCCCTGCTCCGTACTATTGCTCTGAATACTTCGGAAATCCACCTTGTAAACATACCGATACTGCGGAAACTGGTGCTAGTCGGTCACCAACGCATTCGACGTGACAATCTGCTGCTAAGATCTACCGCGTGCTCTATGTCCAAACGCGACCATTTTCGGAGATATAGTTTCTTGGCTATCTTTTAGTTGAAACAAGTCACTTGAGCACAGAACAGGTGCTAATATCGTTGACTTTCTGAAGTCTTAAGTACGATGTGGTACTGTCCGGGAATCAGCTTACCAACAGACCTATTTGATAGTACCGCTAATTACGTGGTCGCCTCGTTCTTATCCAAGGTAACCGTCTCACTATCATTGTTAACGTTATGCCCACGTTGTAAATATCAATTACCCTTCCCGATTTCACTTCTCCGTGGGAGTTGCTCTCGGGGCAGTTGGTGCGAAATGTAAACACTTGATGAGTTCTTCTTGATATGAAGTTGTGGTCGGGCATCCCATTTGCATCACGAGTCTGTGTCCATAGCTTATTTGACCTTTTTTCAACTGTCCTTTGGGGATCACTTGTGTTTGGGTATGTCGCTATCCATCTTGTCCGGTTATACTTGCGGCATACTACTCGGATGGTCCGTTTCCGATGTTCTGTGGGATTATTTGAACGGAAACGCAAAATTTGTTCACGATCAGTAGTCGTATGCTTGTCATGGCCAGTTCTAAGGCCCAAAATCCTTTGCGTATCCATGGCTTTCCCGTCGTTTGCATTTGATCCGTCCTGCGCTCTTCGATTCTCGCCCCCTGTCCAGTATAGGAGTGAATAAGGAAGCATCATTGCCAACACTGATGTTGCTGCCTTTGATGATGATGATATCCTCATATCAGATCCGTTCATTCTCCCAGCCATATCGGCATATCCCAATGCTTGTAGCACCATGTAAATAATCCGCTGATAAAGTGTACTCGAAAGAGATAAATTAGGAGTTGTGGTGGCGTTTCTTCGCAGTTGCGATTTCAAGTCGAGTATTTTGCAAATTGTTTCATACTTCAGTTTCTTCAGATGCGTACACAATACCCTCATTTTTCACGTTCCCCGAAGTTAGCTTTTCCATTCTTCTGCTAGTAGCAAAAGTAACTTGGCATTTTTTAAAATTTAATTACTTAGTTTTTGACTTCTACTGTAGCATCCTGCCACAGTTTATAGGAAGCTTATTTTTGCGGGGGAAACATGAGGTGGGGGCTGTGTTGCCGCTATTGTATTCCCCTGCCAACTGTCTAAATTGATTATTTCCGGCGAAATTCTCGTCTTAGCGAAAAACTGCTGGCCGAACGACGTGCTCGTGAACTAATGGAGGAGCGCTACTTGAAAATGGAGCGTGCGATGCAAGAGCAAGAACTCGCATATGAGATCTCTCAGTCAGCTCTGACAGATTACCAGCGTAAAGTGAAGGAGCTAGAAGCACAGTTGGAGGAAGAGAAGCGAATCCATCAAGAGTTGAAGGACATGCAGAATCACCTGGAAGAGGTTAACCGCCAATTGGAACTGGTGAGTCGGACAATCCTTAGCCACTGTAAATAGACCGTGACTGATACACCATTCTAGTGTATAATAGAGCCACGTTAATTCGTGTTTGGTAATCCCGAGAATGTACTTATATAATATAGGGTTACTCATATTTTACTGCGAAACCTAGCTGGAGGTCTTAATGACTCGAGTTGTGGCCTTCAATAACCACACTTCTGCCGACTAGTCTCATTGGTTTGTGTTTATTCTGGTATTATCAATTTGCGCTAAATCTGGCGCCTTGCAGGTCTTTCGTTTTGCATCATTCATGGTTAGCTGACAAATGTATGTTGGATGCCAGCCCCGTACATCAGATTGATGTGTTATGACTGTGATGCTACCGGGCAAAAGAATGAAGGAAAATCTAGTATTGCATGAAGTTTATCGTAACTCAGTTTGAACTGCGCTGCTTGGATGCGGTAAGTTAGCTGCGTTCTACCTAAAACGACTCCACGCAATTATGAAGAATGATACAGTATCCTGCTGCTCCGGTTCCGTCTAGCTCCGTTGTGGTGATGGGTTTTACGTGTCTGCATAAAAAAATGGTAATCGTTCAGCTGAACTCCCTTATGGGGCTTAGCTGCAATGTCATCCTTAAACAATGGGTACCTAGATGCCGGGGTTGGGTTCGGATCACGAAGCGGTCAGTAATTTCGTGTCTTTATCACTGAACCCTCTGCGTAGCGCCGCAACTGTTGCTTGTCTTATTGGAAAACTATTGGAGTGGCATGGTTCGTCCTCAATAGGTTCAGTAGCCTCGCGCGAGAGATATTGGTTTCGTCACGTTAAGTTATGACTGACGATACACAGGTTACGCTTTAACCTCAGTGTAGTGCGTCGGAAATACTGCAGTGACTGTGAGTAGCTCGCACGTCAAGTTGAGCTTATTAATCGAACTGTTTTAAATACTCATAGATTTACACTTTTACCTGGGATTTTTTCGTTTTTCCTTAGCAAAGCGCTGCTTCGTATGATGAACGTGCTCGATTAGTAGCGGAACGCGATACAATCATGGCTCAAATCGAACAACAGCGAGAGCTGATTCAAGCACAAGAAGAAGAAAAGCGTGCCATTGAGGCTCAACTCGCTCTCGGGGCGCAAAACCGCATGAATGGGGATGAGAGACGTCTTTCTGGAGGTGAGGTTTGCATTTGAATAGCTTCGTTTTCGAACTCTTCATAAGCTACTTAGTCAACCATCCGGTGCTCATCGACAGGCGGCCTGCTGTACTCCTCGAAGTAGCTCAGCATTGAAGGCGCAAAGCTACCGACTGACCAGTGCAGAGACTGAATCTTATCGCAGTGTGGTGCTTTGTATAGCTCTATGAAACAGCTATAGTGGGTGGTTTCACTCTGACGCCAGCCGAGTTTTTCGTACCAATTTGATCGGTAACTAGACCTCTGAGGGACAGTGTCCTAGTCCACATGGTTTGGGGGTTGGAAATGGCACGGCTACTTGTTCCTGAAGAACTTTTACTACTGTATTAGTGAGCCGACACCC